GCAACCCTCCCGACCGGCCCAGGAAGCTAATAGCTACCCATGCACCAACTCCCCGATCGGCCACAGCAGGTGAAGCGGTCACGACCCCGGAGTGGTGCAGCACACACCTACCATCGAGCCGCCACACCCAAACCATCTGCCTCAACCGTCAAACAACATCGACCTACGATCCCGCGATACCCTCTGTCGCTGAACATGCCGTAACTCGTCAGCCACGCGCCTGGCCCAGAGTCATCGACGGGACGCTGTGAGCCCACTGCCATAATCAGCGTAGAGTCGCTCCGGGATGTTGATTCCGCCGGCCCGCCGTCTGGATCGCAGGTGCATTCGTCACCCGTCTGGCCAACAGTTGCAGCTACAGAGAGCGGAAGTTCCGTTCTGGTCGGCGTTCGTGTGCCATATCCGAAGGATGCTGCGTCGATACCAACTGGAACATACGCGTCCACAGCCCGACCATACGGCACTATGCCCAACCATTACGGGTAACCAACCCAACGGTACCACGACATTAATCGCTGGATTGCCCCCAACATACCCGGCGGTCAGAAGCACCGCCCCAGCCAGTTGATATTCTGATTGGAGCGGCCTGTCCGAGCATGCCTGGCAAACAGTTGGGAACTGGACTGCCACGTCCAGGAGACCAAACTGGGTGGAAGCAGGGGGTTCCCGCCCAGGCCCCCGCCCCGGTAGCCACGAAGTGGCCCCCGCTCGCCCAGCATGGTCAGAAATAAAGTCCGGAGTAGCGGTACTGAGCGGTGCTGAAGCAACAACAGTGCTGCAAATAAGGACGTAAAGCCGTGCTCCAACGGGGGAGTAGTCGGCTAAGCGCCGGCCCATGGCAGCACAATGAGCAAAGAGACCATATGTAACATCCTTAAAAGTAACGCTCCTATACTGTTTGGCGCTATGCCTGTCTGGTGCGCCCGTCGCGTTCGACAGCCGCTGTGGGGGGGCTCGTGCAGAAGCCAGTTCGTCTCACCGTCGAACGGCTGTCTGGCACAGTGACCTGCCTGCCACAGAGTCTAAACTAAACCGCTAAATCTAACAACTCAACAGTCTGAACCGGCCCCCCCCAATCGCCCACGTAACTCTCGTTATCAAATCCGCACCCTTTCGCTAGTTTTGGATAAAACATATATATTAACTTAAGTACAATAAACTGTGAATACATTAACTGAACAATCATCGCCTTTAATAATATCGCATACAACGCTACTGAGAAGCTCAGTAGCTCAACAGTTACTCTTTAATAAATTTAATTAATAATAATTAATAATTTCGGGAAATAATATATGGAAATCTGTTTTTTTTACTTGTCATGATTTTTGGCGGGGTGGACGTTTTGGCGTTTTTCTATTAAATACAATTTTACATCCGTAGAAAATCTTAAGTCTTTTAGATTGACAGTATATATGTATGTATATGTGTATCTTGATATTTCGATATCCTATGATAAATACTATTTATATTTTAACAATAATATCATTGAACATACACTATTCATATAGTACAAGTGTCATGTTGCAATGCTTACATCAAAAGCTCAACTTTGGCGCGTGCGCTCATTGTCAAGCTTTTTGGTCCTCGCTTGTAGGTGTAATGCTATTGAGAATTTACATGTTAGTTTCCCTTCGCGGTTTGAAAATAAGTAAAATAACTTTCTGACAGTGAAATATATTACCTGTTTTAGTCTCAGTTTAAATAATAGAATTATCTGTATTGTATTTATTTGAGATATTTGCGTATAAAATACATACATATATATGGAAATGTGTATATCAACATAGCTGAAATGTTTTCAATTTCAAACATTTTCTAAAAGAATGCGTACAAAACCCAAAAAAAAAACAAATAACTCAGGAGGTAGAAATTTTTTAGCCTGAGAATTTTCACTGCGATATGCGCATATGTATGTATTTACATACAGATGTTAAGTAAAACTAATATTTAACTAGTTTATGCACATAAGTATACACTTATGTATGTACAACATACATATATTTATATTCTGTGCAAGTAAACTATTTGTTCCCGTATAAATATAAATGTAGATGTATACAATCATACATACATTTGTACGTGTAAATAAGTGTCCTCATCTGTCAAAAAAAAATGGTTAATAACAAAGTAAAAAATCCTGTAGATAGAATTTGTTTAAAGTTTTAGTGTAGGATTAATAAACAAGAAAAGGCCTAATAGCTAAAAATATAAATGTTTAATACCAAATACCAAGGATGGTATACAAAATGGATCTATTAATTCTGTTAATTTTAACATTTCAACAAATAAAATACAACGTCGCAAGCAAAGATGGTAAGTCTGAGAGAAATATCTATATACATATGTATGTATTTTAGATTAAATATTAAACTAAATATTCACGGACTAGAATAAGATTATTTGACACCTTTTTATATTGAATATTAAAATTAAAGAATAATATGTATATAACAGAATGTGTTGTATGGAAACATCCAAAATATTTGTCATTATGTGGAATGAGGAAATACGGAGTGCGGGAACATATTGTATTGATAACATAAATCATGATATTTATTACATATGTACATATGTACATACAGTTGTGTTCTTTTCCGCACCTAAAGACTTTCAACATTTTTTTTTTGGGACATTTCTAGCCTTCAAAATTGAATAGTGATGAAACCCGAACAAAATCCCGTTACATTCGCATTCCATCTCTTAGTTGTTCATTAACTTTTACACAATTGCCAATGAAATCGGTTGATCATTCAAATAGAAGAGCTGGTAGTACTAGGAGTAGTAGTTGTATAGCATCTGCCAGGCTAGAGATTAGGTTGCATTTGAAGAAATCGACATTTTGCATCTCCAGCTCATGATGAAACTATGTATGTATATAAGGTGGTAGGCATATCAAGGCATCTTTTATCTTTTGAGGACCATCCGTTTGTCACTCGTTTGTCAAATGTAGTCGATAGAGGTTGTGTAGCACACGATTGTTTTCTTTGTCTTCTTTATTGCTTGCGAATAGACTCGTAACCAGAAAACAATGAAATGAATGTGCTTGCTAATATTTTAAATCGGCATTTATTTAATAAAAATATTACTTTAGTATATTTTATGTAATTATTTTATGTACATTAGGTTGAGCCAAAAAAATTTTTTTTTTTTTTTATTTAGACGGGACGCCCCTTCATTTTGTTATCTTGGGTTTGATAGTAGTAATATTAAAGATTTTATTTTTATTTAAAAACCCTTTTTAGAGGTTGCAACAAAATTTAAAAAAAATTTTAAGTAAGAAAACCAACGCAACAAAAAAAGTATTAGCGAAATCGGTCCAGCCGTTCATGCCTGATGCCGGGACCAAGGAAAATAAGGATTCATTTTTATGTACATATATACATATATAGATGTATGTGGGGTATGAATTTTGACGAGATTTTAAAATGATTGAACGATGAAGAAAGGGTGTAGAATTGATGGCGAACACGAAAGCAATTAGTTAGACTTGAAACGAGAACACGAAAAAGTTTTTAGAATTAGACGTGTCTTATTGAGTACGCTGGAGACGCTTCAAGTCGGTGTCTTATTGAAGAACTATTTTGTGCGTAAGAAGCGTAAGACTTGAGTGCTAGGTCAAGACTAAATTGTGGGGCTTGCGGCCCTAATGAAAGCGAGAGCGCGACAGATGGAGAGAGCGATAGCAAAGGCGAAAGAAAAAAGGAAGAGATTTGTATGTCAGGAATTGACCAAATATATGGGTATGTATATATGCGATTACAGAAAGGGTGAGAGATTGCAAAGGCATACGGTGCAGGACCAGATCATGATCATAGCGAAGGCATGAGAATCGACTGTGTCTTAAGCGATGCTGCGACTAAAGCGCGGGAGAGTGATCGAGTGAACGTGATAGCGAGAATGATGGGAAAGAAAAGAAGAAAGGCGCGAAACGAAGCGCCGAACGATGGCGCTCTAACATGAGGTTGGTAATCCAAAAATGTATCTCCCAACTTTTTATGTTCCAGTTCGGATTTTAACAACTTATTTAATTTTAATTTAAAACGTGCCTCCAACCCAATTTCAGAAAATAAATTTAAATTCCATTTATTGTATTGTCAAGTCGTGCATGATTTACCTACATATACTCTTATGTATTTTTTGACCACATTTGTACGACATTCGCTCGGCTGTTGCTGTATCGGATAACGATCGGCAGGTTTCACGTATGGCCTTGCCCCTGTTGCTCAAAGGGAGCTGCATGGTCCAGTCCTGGATCCTCCTTCCGTGGCCGCTGACCGGATGGTCAGTGGGACCCTGCCGTTGGACGGTGCCCTACGCATATATTTCCAAAATATAGCTGGTATGCTCAACAAGGCCCAGGCTGTCTATTTGGCAACCATTTTGCGATTTTGACATTGTAATTTTGGTTGAAACTTGGCTCAACACAAACTTCTTTGACAATCAGTCCCTCAATCCCAAACTTTTCCAGGTGTTACATAAGACAGGTCCAAAACGAAGCTCTGCAGAGGCGGTGGGATTGTTGTGGCCGTTAGACGTCTTGTTGAAGACGACTCTCTCTTTAATCAGATTGGGGTGTCGGTGCCCAGTCAGTCGGAGAAACTACATGTCTGTGCGTCGTAAATTTCACCTAAAAGTGGGTATGAAATCTACAAGGCTAACACTCAGAATATTGGGAACATTTATAGAAACCTTCAAGACCGTCAGCATCTCTTCGTTGTTGGCGATTTCAATTTGTGTTCGCTGGTATGGTCCGCCGATATTCAATCGTCGGCTTTGAAGCCGAGCATTATATACCTGCCGCATGAAATCGTTTTTTCTTACTTCGGACATCGATTCTTGTGTTACATGTTGCAAACTGCCTATTGGAGAAATTTGTTTGATCTCTGAATGTGGTAGCTGAAAAAAAGGCCTCCTGGTTCAAGCATAAGGCGACACGAGTAAGGTGGCAAAAGTAGGTTGTTATCTTTATTTTTTCTTATAAAACAGAGTTCGAGCATGTAGTCTGTATAGTCTCGAGGTCTTTTTAATTTTAGTTAGTAGGAGAGTTGGTGTAAAGATAAAAAAGATAAAAACACCGGCCTACTGGGACGCGGACGGAGACACGACAGCAGGACCCCCAGGAATCACTCACCCACTAAGTCTGGATGGAGGAAGGATCGCCGCTCTTGTCACCATCGAAGGGCAGGCACTGTCGGCCACCGTCGACACTGGAGCGACCCGATCTTTCATCAGTCAACGGATGGTCCGGAAATTAGGGACGGAGGCGAATCTGCGCGAGGATTACCCTGGCGGATAGATCCAAGAAGGAGATAACTCAAGCAGTGCTGGCAACGGTAAGACTCGATCAACTGGAGGCACGAGTGGCTTTGTTAATCTTGCCCACAGTACTTGATGACGTCATCTTGGGTCTCGACTTCCTGTGCGGGATCAGCGCCAGGATCCACTGCGGACGTGCCTATCTACAGCTGAGGGTAAGACGTGACCATCCAGGTACGACACCACTGGTCCCATCTGTGCCTCGATCTCGAACGGTGACCTTCGCCAGTCCACTCACTACCAGCCCAGCAAAGCCGACTACGCCCATGACTGGACCCATACCTCACGGACGAGCCTTGCCCAACAACAGGACCATCAGGAAGACTTCGGCAGAGGCAGTTGCGACACCGCTGGACAACTCCAGGGCCAGCTCGCCGAACCGGGAGTCGCACAATAACGGAACCACCAGGAAGACTTCGGCAGAGGTAGTTGCGACAATGCTGGACAACTCCAGGGCAAGCTCGCCGAACCGGGAGTCGCCCAACAACAGGACCATCAGGAAGACTTCGGCAGAGGCAGTTGCGACACCGCTGGACAACTCCAGGGCCAGCTCGCCGAACCGGGAGTCGCCCAACAACAGGACCATCAGGAAGACTTCGGCAGAGGCAGTTGCGACACCGCTGGACAACTCCAGGGCCAGCTCGCCGAACCGTATTAGAAGGGTGCGCTTCCCAATGGCTTGTTCAGATCAGCTTTGCTGGGATAACCGACTACCCTGAAATACCGGCCGCCTTCTTGTTGAACAGGCGAGTGTTTGTCGGCATACGGTAGCCGACTAGTGACGTCATTAATGACGAAATGGAAGTCGATGGACATGGGAGAAATAGCTGTGTCTTTCGTAATGGCACACAAGTCGAAAATCAACACTAGACTGCAACGTTTACTTTTCACCACCAATCTAACGAATAGAAATGAACTACAGCAGCATTTGAAGGAACTTTCATACAACAAGCGAAGCGATTATCTTGCTTCAGACCATTCGATCGGTCCCGATAAGAAGAGTTTCAAGGCACACACTCCAATGAAGTGCCATTACTGTGGGAATCCCGGACATAAAATGCTGGAATGCCGTAAGAGGATGGCAGAACAATTAAAGTCAAATCAATCGTATGGGAAAACTATTGGTGGGACGAGACAGGACTCTAGTGACTTTTTTTAAATGCGGAAACGTCGGTCATAGGCTCGCCTGGGGGTAAATACTTTTCCTGCTTAGACATGGCCAGTAGGTTTTATCAGATTCCAATAAATTCAGGATCTATAGAGCGAACAGCTTTTGTAACCCCCGACGGCCAGTACGAGTTCTATCTATGACATTTTGGCTGAAAAATGTCTTTTCGATTTTTCAGTGAGCTATAGCGCCAGCACTCATATGTAATTTTTTTTGTTGATGATATAATGATAGTCGCGAGGTCGAAAGAGAAAGCTTATGGGGGGATCTGAGACCCCTTCCCATGCAAGACGGTGCGAACCCTAAGCCCGCTTGGATCGGCAAGAACCCACGGGGCACGAGACGTAAGCAGGCGAGGAGAAGTATAACTGTTGTCGGTTTATTTGAGCTTTGTACTTGTAAGACTAGAATTAAAGAGCCGCATGAAGCAGGCGCTCGGTTGGGCGCCGAGAGCACGTGAGAACCAAGCGAGCTTTACGCCAGGCGGCGATACATTGCAGTGCTCGACTGCGAGGCCTCGAGAAGTCGCGAGAGAGAAGAGAGGATTAGTTAGTGCGAGCGTGGTGAACCGACTAGACATGATTGTTACAGAGAGGCGTGTGAAGAACAATAAAGAGACGAGCGGCAGGAAAATCTGGACGGAAAACGGTGTGGCGCGGGAGTTTACGGAACAAGTCGGTGAGCGTAACCCCGTCCAAAGTTATACCTGGGCCTGAAAGAGGGTATATCGTTGCACTACCTGCTCGCCACTCCCGCCTTTCGGTTGTCGGCTGCCCTTCTTCCATTCTATTTGTACATGGGTGGCGCTTCCTTGCAGAGGGGAGGTAAGAACTGACCCGAAAATCGCCTGCTGGTGCAAGTGCAGATTTCTATAGTGCCATACTCATGCACAAAACTGACGGCAAGTCTGGAGTAGCAAGTGTACATCGCCCCCAGAATCGATGTATCATTCTTACGAACTAGGGACCCTGTCAGTGTACAACGCTGTAAAACATTTCCGATATTACCTTCACGGTCGAAAGTTTGTAATCTTTACGGATTTTAATTCGTTGAAAGCAAGTCGTACTAATGTAGAACTAATGCCAAGAGTACACCGTTGGTGGGCATATTTACATTCGATTGATTCCACTGTAGAGTACAAAAACGGAAGTCGCATGGCGCACGTGGACTTTTTATCTCGAAATCCGATTGTCATTGAACGTGAGCCCAGCTGAATGGTGGGGAGTCGCAGGAGAATTTGGCAAAGACATATGAGTTAAGAACAGGAATTCTATATCGGAATATTCAGAGAAATAGTAAAAAGCGCTGTCTACCTGTCATCCCGAGAGCCTTCAGGTGGTCTGTGGTAAATCATGTGCATGAAGCAATAATGCTTTGGGGTAGCAGAAAACTTTAGATAAGGCTTATAAGCAGTATTGGTTTGAACACATTTCAAAGTATGTACGAAAATTCATAGAAAACTGCATTACATGCAAACTATCAAAGACACCATCAGGAAAAATTGAAATGGAATTGCATCCAATTCCGAAAGTCGAAATACCAATGCATACTGTGCATATTGATATAAGTGGAAAAGTGAGTGCAAATTGATGCGCTCACTAAATTTGTTCACCTAGATCATACTTTGAATTTGGACGACGAAAACTGTATTAAGGCAGTGAAATCGACCATAACGCTTTTTGGGGTACCTAATGGTATCATTGCAGATCAAGGCAAGAGTTTTGCTTGGGGACGATTTCTAGAGTTCTATTTAATGTATAAAATAAAGACAGGAGAACGTTCCTGGCAGGATGCACTAAGTGAAGTTCAGTTAGCCATGAATTGTACTACCAACAGAGTAACAAAATTCAACCCGTTAGAACTATTGATTGGAAGAGAGGCTAGGCCAATGGGCTTGTTGCCTATAAATGATAAAGCTAAAATGGATTGTAAGCAGGCAAGAACTCATTCCAAAGAAAAATAAAGAAAATATGGAAAATAATGCGAAATATGAAAACAGGCGAGTTGAAAGGAATACGGCCAAGATTGTAAACCTTTTGTGGTTGCGGAGTTTGCTGGATGGTGACCGATATTTATTGAAATCATTGTAAGCGAACGTATAAGTATTCGCACGAGAGTTAGCGAAAGCTGACGCATGAGCAGGTTTCTGACGAGAATATTGAGAAGAACAACAGTGGTGGAAAAGTCACTGGTCGTTTGACCCGCTCACGCACCTAAGAGAGGTGCAGGAAACATCAAACGCAGGGGCTAGATTCAATCAACAATATTCATGCCGGCTATGGGTGTTATTGTGTGATGGACATTGGATCTGAGGAGATCGTGGCACTGGAGGTGCAAAGCGTTGCAAGGGTGCGGCAGGAACCTGTAACTGTGTTGATTACGACAATAGCCAAATGGGAGGGTTTCCGCAGGGGAGAAGGAGTAACTGAGAGAGATGATCCAGGTCAAGCCGACAGCACAAGTGTAGAGCAAGAAGTGTTCTGACATGGCGTGTGGCGTGGCTCACGTGGTGTTACGAGTTTGATGGGGCTCACTGTAAGAGATAAAATATGAAGCCTGCGAGACCGACATTTGAAGACACAATATATGAAGTTGTGTGTTGTTATACCCGTACTCAAAAAAGAGTTAAGGGGTATATTAGATTTGTGGTAAAAGTGGATTTGTGTAACGCAGAGAAGGAAACGTTTCCGACCCCATAAAGTATATATATTCTTGATCAGCATCAATAGCCATGTCGATATAGCCATGTCTGTCTGTCCGTCTGTCTGTCTGTCTCGATGAGCGCCTGGATCTCAGAGACTATAAGATCTAGGGCAACCAAATTTGGTTTCCAGACTCATATGATATATTACTGCTACAAGTGTATTTCAAAATTTCGCCCCGCCCCCTTCCGCCAACACAAAGAACGAAAATCTGTGGCAGGCACATTTTTAAAGAAACAATAAAACTAAAAACGCAGTATCGTAGATAATGCCCATATCTACCAGACAACTGAATCTGAATCAGATCGGATCATAATTAAAGCCAGAATGACGAAGTTAATTTTCAGTTGCTTCCCCTGCCCCCTCCTGCCAACGACAACGCAACTCATTTTCCTTCTCGCTCGCACACTCTGCCACGTTCAGTGCGCGAGCAACCCCTAGCGGGGTTGATGTAGCAAAAAAATGTAAAATGTAAAATTTTTTTTTAATTCTAAAATTCTAAAAAATCATATGCTTAAAAATGTAAGTACTAACTGAGTACGGGTATAAGTAGAGTCGCGTCTTTAGAAGCGACTCACACGTTCCTTCTCGTTTTTGTTTCAAATGGTCTTGAAAGATGAAAAGAAAAGTATAGCAAGTGTAACAACCTAGTGTTACAGTATGTACAAGAGTACGTGTGAAAGTCAGGAATGCCGTGTCGGAGATGTATGATGAAAATGTATGAGAAATTATAAAAATGTAAACAGAAATTTATAGAATTATGAAACAATATCAATAAAGGAGAACAGGAACTGCGCAGTAATTTATTCCTTCTATTTGCATTATTGCTGAGAGCGAGGATTGAGTACGAGAGAGTGTTGTCTCAGCCGAGTGTGGCGCGGTTGTATATAGGTTGCCTCTGAGAAAGATCGAAAGGGCTAAGGAGAGCAATTGGATGATGTAATATGGTGTCATGTATTGCGTGAGCGAAAAGAAGAAGACGAGAAAAGGAGTTTTCAGTTGGCTCGCAAATTTGAAAGAGAAAAGACATAACCGCGACTCACTGCTTTCAAGTGCGACAATGCAGGAAGAATAAGAGCACCCAGGCCATATGACCCCGACATATATATATTCTTGATCACCATCAATAGTCGAGTCTATGTCTGTCTGTCTGTCCGTTCCGATGAGCGCCTAGATCTTAGAGATTATAAGAACTAGAGCAACCAAATTTTGCTTTTAGACTCATGTCATATAACACTGTTTCAAGTTTCGCCCCGTCCGCTTCCTCCAACACAAAAAACTAAAGTCTGTGGAATCCACAATTTTAAAGATACGGGAAAACTTAGAAGGCACTATCGTAGAAAATCGCCATATTGTAACGACCCATGGCTGTGGCCATGTTCTGACACTGCGAATGCAAATTCGACAACACCAATCCACTGACCACTGAGCACAAATTTCCGACCTACAAACCCCATCCCACACTGTTACCGAATAATTATAAGTTAGCAATTACACCCCAGTAATAAGATACTCCATGGGAATTGCGGAAGTAAAACCCAACAGCGCTCTGGGAGTTTAAATAAAACAACGTCAAAACGTAGATAGTACACCATCTAAAATGAAGACTCTACATCTACAATGTAGATTCTACATCTTCTCCGCGAACTGCACAGTGCATCTGGAGAGGGACCCCGCAACTCAAAATTAATTTTTTTATTCTGGCTTTAGTAATTATCCGATCTGTACCAGATTCGGCAATCTGATAGATATGGTCATTTTCCCCGATATGCACGGTGTAACACATGTTAACACATTTTTAACTTAAAAATGGATTTTTCTAATAAAACAACATTGCCTTTATTTCTAGTACCAGTTCACCAAATCGAATCTTTGGTTGGAGAAAATATATTTCTTCCATGCAATGTAACTACATATGACGGCGATGAGCCTGTTTTGGTATTATGGTACAGAGATGATAAGGGTACTCCCATATACAGGTAAATAATATAAACATATTAATGGAGGTCGGAGGAAATTAGAATGTCCCCGCCGTCCTGACACATATAGCATAAATAACCTTGTTGATGAGACTTCTATTCTCTAAACTATTCTCAATAATGAATGAGGATCGAAGGACCACAAATGGTGTTGTTGATGAGACGAATTGTAAATTCGAACGATTGTGACTGTGCGACAAGTGTGTCGACAGATTCGGGCTCGAACCGCTCCTAGATCTAGGTTAGGTTAGGTTTATAGGGCTGCTCGACTGAAGTCGAGGTCAATCAGAGGCAAGTCTGCCCATTGTGATGCCCACACTCGTCACGGGATATTGTCCGGTGCCTAGGGAGGTTTCGCGAACCATCCCGAGGCCTCTATAAAGAGCACC